ATTTGGTGTATTTTGTATTCATGCTTTACTCGTATTGTCGTTTATTGGTCACATGGTGTTATGTTCATTTGCATAAGTAGGTCAAGGTGGGAGGTACTTCAGGCACGAGGGCATATGGTTTTTTACCAGCGTGAGAGAGGCAGCAGAAATGTCTGTGAGCTTGCTTATGTGTGTGAATAAACCGCCTCAAACTCAATCTTGTTATGGACATTACTTTGCTTTGGTACCTCTGAACCTGCGTAAAGCCTAACCATGACGTAGCCTCGAGTGGCCATTTGAGAAGTTTGTTATTATTTGTTTTTGTTTAAGTTTATGGACAAATAGCCACTACACATGTTGTTACCTTGGAAACAAAGGGTCATATAATTTACAACAGTCAAGGTACAATCTTTTAGCAAAAAGGATATCTGAAAAACATCTAATTAAAGTGTTTTTTCCTGTTACTGCATGTCAATTATCATCTGGTTTACCGACAAGATGGGTCCAAATGTTAGTGAATTCAGCACTAACCTGGCGGTTGCTGGAGTTTCGGGCGGGGGAGGAACCCCCTGGTTATTTTTTGGGGTTCAAGGTTAAGGTCTGGTTTTAGGCCAGATGAGTGGTTGGTATGGATTTGAAAGGGTATCCGTTTCCTCAATGCAAAGCTTTTTTCAGTTTATAGTGTCTTTTCAAACCTCCATGGATTCTAAAACCATATCTTGCCTAAATATGATGGAATTGTTTTGACATTGATGGAAACAAATCTATTGACTTTCTTACAGAGAGAAAGAAGAAGATCAATACCACATTGATATTTGTTTTCTATTTATATATGAAGACAAGTAGCGCAACTTAGCATAAAGGCGGAATGCAGTGTGAAACAGTTCTAGTCCTCTAAACCAGGTGGTAAATTGTATTTTGCATGGCTGAATTGACAGCAAACACAAGAAATAATTAATCGCTCATTCTGGAAATATCCCAAAAGGTGTACAGATTGCCTATCTTATCCAAGACCCACTTGAAAAACGCTGTCCCTTTTAGTCCCATAGATTTTTTCATTTTTGAAGAAAATATAGGATTTATTAGCAGGTAAACCGCTGCAGAAAATAGGGCCAAGGATCAAATGTTGTCCATCGAGAGGTATTAGATATCTTACTAACACGTTTCCAATCAGCATGACTAGTTTTTATTAGCAGACTTCAGAGACAGAGCTGACAGTGGTACTTTAATTTGTCTTGTTATGGAAATAAAATATAGAGAATATTACACTGACAAAAGATTTAGAGAGGGAGTGGTGCCTGTCTGTAATTAAGCAGTTTTGTGTTTCTCTCTCTACTGCCGACTATAACTTCAGTTATAGGCCACAGAAAGATGTGTATATATATATGTATAAACTCTATAGTTTGTCTTTAATGTGGCCCGGCGGTGCTTGTCCTGTATTTTGTCTTTGAGATGGGAACTCACGAAGACCAACAAGCGAGTTGCATGCTTGCTTAAACGCAAGGTGGAAAAAAAAGTTGATTGACTGTTGCAAGTAAAACAAGCAATGTCTTGTGAGCTAGAAACAATTATCTATGTTGTTCTGCCAGGTCATTGCCTGTGGTTGGGGGAATCAAGACAAATAGCTGTGCTAATGCACTCTGTCCTGGGGAGATGAAGGGGTTTGATAGTAGTGTTCTCTGCAGGGCAACTGGGTGTTGCTAAATGCCTCATTAGAGGTGGTCTCCGTGTGAGAATGCCAGAGCTGACAACTTATGCTGGGAATATTTTTTGCTTACTTAGCATGTATTGCACGGCATCTTAATAGATTCTGGATACTCGTTATTCAGCGGATGCTGGTGAATGGCACGTATTCACTGTATTTGTAGGAAGTTGAAACCCCCAAAGTCCATATATTTGAGGAGGTAACGACTTTAAAAATGTTATCTGTTTGGAGATCAGAAGCCAGCGGCCCCATATTGGCAGCTGCAGCTTTAAATCTGTCGCCCTCACCATTGGGATTGTTTCTCTTCGCCCCTTTGCACCGTGTGCCGGCCACGCTGCCAAAGACAACAGGGACTCTTGCCGGCAGGAAGCGGAGGTGTTGCTCAACCCACATGTACGAGTTGTCTGTGTCTTGTCTTTCACACCTCTGTCTCTCACCATTTCTTCTCCCTCTCTCTCTCTCTCTCTCTCGTTTCATCTCTATCATTCACCCTTTTCAATGCCTTGCTTTATTGTGTGACTATCTCCCGTCTATGGGTGGAACGTTTTCAATGCTCCTCTCCTAATACGATGAGCCTTTTTTTGTTTCTAAAAGGGGGCAGACGAGGCCTGTGCTGCTGATAGATGTAGGCACTCAAGCGGTAAAGAGAGATACATTACGTGAACGCTATCCACATGGGGGAAATTGTGTCTCTGCTCCCCCTGAAGATGTTGCAGGGAGAATGAGCCCCACTGGCAGCACTATTGCAGTCACTGAAAACGTGTGCAAAGACTTCATTTCACACTCTTTTTCTGCAGATTGCCCATCCATCACTCAGCGCTCCATATCTGTAGTTCTAACCCTGAAGGTGTGAAGGTGCCTCAATTTGTCATCTTAAGTAAACAGCAGTCTGTTTATCGGGCTCTAATCCTCTCCAGTTTAAAGCTATGGGGGGGCTTGGATGGTCGCCACTATGCCCTGATTTTTCATAATGAACTCAACTTTCAAACACCAGATGCCAAAACTGGACTGGGAAAATAAATTAAGTGAAATGACTTTTATCTGTCTGCCAACACGCCAGGCAAATCTATGTATGTAGATGTGAACGAAGGAATGTATGTCCTCAGATGGTCAACTAACATATGTATTTTCCCCAAACGGGAGCTTCTCTTATCTATTCATCCTGTTCTTCCCACCGCAAGAAAAGTGGTTCAGATTTGGAGATATGTAAGTGTTGGCCACATTCATTTGGGCTGACATTGTTAATGTCGTTACTGGACAGGTGCATGTGTGTAATGTGAGATGAGGGGTATGAGGAAAGTATAAAGGAGATGTTGCAACAAGGTCTGAAGAGGGAGGAATTCTTCTGATGTGTTCATTAATTTTTTCAGTGACTGCTTGGTTAATTAGTACACGGCTGTGGAATGCGCAGGAATGCATGTTAAAAACGCTCCTTGTGTTCATTTGTTATTTGGATATGGGTGATGCATTAGAGGGGAACAATAAAGCTATTTCATTGAGTTGGCACAAACAGCACCAGTTTAAAAGGTAAATCAGGAACATTTGTTTGAAAAAGTCAGACCTTTAAACAATTGGATACAAGTTGTTTGCAATAGATCTTAATTTCAGGCAGAACTTGTTAACCGCCCTGTTGTAAATCTGCAGTTTATTGGATCTCTTTTTTTATATGGAGTGTTCCCAAAGCAATTGTTACCGGCACCAGACCTAGGGGTAATCTGGACCGGCAGCAAAGGTTACACAGCCTAGGAAGCACTGTGTAGCCTGTGGATTAATATGGAGAGAGGACACACGTTAGCGTCATGCTCAAGCCAGAGCTAGTTTTATTCTGAGCTGCACACTCATAACATTTTACAATTTCCACAACATGGTGTGAACAAATACAAATGAATCAAAATCTCTTCCACATCCAGTCCTACAAACATTTAGCAACTACGGTGTAACACTGGAGTTCACGGACAAAACTAGCTAGTTAGCATTACAACATCCGTCAGACCAATTCCCTTCAAAATACAGCTAACTACATCTGGTCACACACCTACAGTCATGTTAACACATTACAGAACATTTACACGCATTTACCTTCGATCTTAACCCAAGTGAAAGACATAAAACAACTTTAGCATACCTGTGGATTAATATGAAGAGAGGACACACGTTAGCGTCATGCTCAAGCCAGAGCTAGTTTTATTCTGAGCTGCGCATGAGCGGAGCCTGTAGCTACGTTCTCTCCAATGTCTCCACAGCAGCACCACAGCGCCCTCTACTGACGTGATCGTGCAATATCTTAATATAACGTCTTAAAGAGTGCATTTATTAACAAGGAAAAGGGGGGGCGGGGGGGGGGGGGGGGTTTAATAACAACTAACGTGTAGCATTTCCAACCTACAACACAAACAACATTTTCAGACACATTTGTTGCCCTTTTAAAACGCCCTTTATGTTGTGATAGCCACAAAGACATGTCACAAGACCGCTGTGTTAACACAAGTACGCGCATGACCATTGCCAATCAGCATCTATGGAAAGACTAATCAAAGCACACATGTATTTAAATGAACAACAGCTGGACATTTTTTCGTTCAGATGACTTTGATTGAACCTCTGCCACATCTTGACATTTTAAACATTAAAATACACTAAGATGTCCAGTTTTGGTCCCACTGATTGGCCGCTGTCTCGTGTTCCACCACCACACGTCGCTCCAGTTGTCTCCTAGTGAAAGAAAAAAGAGCAAGGGTTCCCATGGATGTTCCCTCATATGTCTCACTTACCATTGAGTGTGAACTAATGTGTGTGCTACACACTTCTTTAATGCACTGTGCAGTCCCAGATAGGACATGGTTCATTTTTCTTTTACACAACATAAAAGGAGGAGCTGACAGGGCCCTAAGCCAATGACAGGTATCATTTAGCTTCAGAATTGAATGAGTTATCCAAGTCAAAAGGCGATAGCTAGTGGAAGCTGAAAAAAGCATGGCCGAGTGAAAGATAATAGAACAGGACTGTTTTGTTAGCGAGACCTTTTGTTTTGGCCAAACAGATTTAAATTCCACACAAAAGGGACGCAACAGCTGATGTGTGACGGGCAAAGAGAGGGCACATGCCTTCAGGGAACCATGGCAAAACGACTGAATGGTCACAACGGTGTGCAACCTGTGTACATATCCTGCGCAAAGTTAGGAGGGACATGCACACACACACACACACACACACACACACACACACACACACACACACACCCATGCCCCCCCACACACACCCACGCACTTATGATTGCTCCTCCCTAGCTTGACTCTTTACTCCTGTCTCTCTCCAGAGTTGCAGAAAAGGACGTAGTGAAAGCGGACCAAGACCACTCCACCGCCATGAAGACGGGGGCCTGTGGTAATCAGAGTCTGGGTGAAGTATGGCCTCTGCACTGCGTGTCTGGCAGCAATTATGGCAGCAAAGGGAAGAGGATTAAGGTACTATCCCATCTCGGCCTTCTATTAGTGGGATTGATGTTGTTGGCCACCCTCCCGTTTGGAGCAAGCATCAAACAATCTGTGCCCAGGGTCAAACTCAGCCAAAATGGTAAGAATTTTTTCTTTTTATTTTCTTTTTGTTAAAATGTTGTATGGAATTGTATATGTCCAGTATTAAAGTGTGATGAAAAAATAAGGTTTGGGTAGTTTTAGGCCATTTTGGATATTTTATCTCTTGCCAACAACCCTCATCATCAGTACACTTTAGAGTGACTTTAAGTTACTGACTCACAACTAAGATTCTCTTGATTTTCATGTAATCTTTTTCACATTTTTCTTTTATTTAAGCCATTCCTGTCTTCAAAGCCCATGTCTAGCATTGTCCATCTAACATTTTGTCTCCTCTACAGTATTTCCCTTGTGGTCTTATCCACACAGTCAAGGGAAACGAGTGAAATGAATGATTCTTAACAGCATAACTCAGTTATGTAAATCTCCTTTGAAACAACACTGTAAAGTAGGAGAGATGTAAGACTCCCTCACTGATCTGTCAGCCCACTGTATAATTCACTGGTCACATATTGTAAAACAACAGCACAATCTATTAACCCTCCCATTGATATATATCTAGCTCAGAAGCGCACAGTTACTTAAATACAACGCTGTTGCAGTCCATATATTTCACGTTGACGCTCTCAGTCCGCGGTGAAGCCGTCGTTCCTTTGTACATTAGCCGGTCCTGCGCGCTCTGTCGATGTGTTTAGTTTTGCGTCAACTGTTTGCTTTATGCCACCTGGGGCGAGCTGAATTATTGCTCCCCTTAAAACCCATTCGGAACTCCGGAGCAAACTTAACTTCAAAGTCTCCATCTGTCTCATTCTACATATCAGCTAAAAAAACCCCACATAAATGAACTTCAGTCTCGCTCCATAAAATTGAATTGAATTGAAACTCTCTTTGACTTCAAACCTCCAGAAGCTCTCTCTTGGTCAAAGACTTCTTAAACCCTCGACTGGAAAGAGATATGTCATGAGTCTCCAACATAAATATGTGGAAGAAATGATTGCTACGGACAGCGTTTACCCAGCAGGGGAATATTTAGCTCTATACTTTGTTGGCTCAAATCAAATCAGCCTTTTGATAAAATGAAGCAGTTCATTATTTCATATATGATTGCATTTTAATGGGGCCATACATCTGTAACCATTTTTTCCATAATCCATCAAAGCGGCGTCTCTTTGCTTAGACAAGCCAGTTAAGCATTTTTCATTCAAGAGGCCGTCCGACTGCGTCTTTCCTTCACAACAAACACGATGTCGCCTACAACTCTGTGCACGCTTCATACACACATATTGTCATCATCTCATCTTCAAAAGCAGCAACTCCCGCCAGCGATCACTCTTCGAAAACACATTGCGTCGTCCGCCTGTGAAGTCACGGCTGTAATAAGGGAAGGGTGAAAAGATCAAAGTGAAATCATCTGCGTTTGAGTGAGCACCTCCAAAGACACGGGCCTTCTCCTGTAAACTTATGCAGTCCCCCCTGATAAACACCTCAAGTTTAAGTGTGGTCCAGAGTCACAACACAGAGATTGTGGCCTTCTGCCAAATGGGAAGTGAGATCATCTGGCTTGGATTTATTTTATGCTACACATTCAGATGGTTCTTACACCACATGCCCTCTTCCTGCAGTCTGTGTTACTAAATAGCTACAGTTTATTAGTCATATGGTCATAAAGTAGAAAGACACTTTGCAGGACATGTTGCTTCTTGTAAACAGTTCTCAATGCCTAACCTCAAATTAGTGAACAGTGTTTAGTAACAGTGAATATAAACACAGTTCAGTGATAAATCTGTCAGTTCTGGAGCTCGCCTTTGTTGGTTTCTTTATTTCTTAGTTGTTATTGACATTACTGGACATAAGTCTGTTATGAAATCACAGAAAGAACATCCTACACTGCAAATATATGACTGCAGGCCAAGGCCATGATCCTGCAACATGAAAGCAGCATCCTAATCTCAGTTATTTTACATTAAACTAATCTAATGAATTTTGTTTTACTTCACGCTTAAATTATGTGACTTCCTCCCTGCAGATATGGCAAATTCATTTACAGCAACACTGCAGCAAAATATCTTTTCCACTTCACGCTCATATTAAACTTCAACCTTTAGTCGAAAAAGGCACCGGTGCCTCACTAGTCCCGGTGATTATTGAGCACTTCTACAATAGCAGACATTATGTAGTGTTAGGCTACGGAGCGTAAAACTAGTTGACCAGCAGAGAGTCAAACAGGTTGATGTCTTACTCAAATAAAGGTGTTGGTGAGAGTACTGCAGAGTTTGGGGGGGACTTGAGTGCTGTGCTGAGCAGCAACAGCTCTGCATGCTGTGTCTGTCAGCTCATATTTCCATGTGTTTACAGAGCAGATTAGCATTAGCCAAGGGCTAACAGGTTTAATCTCTATGTGAGGTTTAGCCCACCGGACTCCCCCCACATTGAGCCAGTGTTTATTCAAAGCATGTTGCTATACTGGCACACTGAATTTAGCCTGGTGATGGAGGAGATTTCCTCACATCAAGGAGATCAAGGACGCAGTGCTGAGCTGAGAAAGTAGTCAGTGCTGAGCTCCCAGAAGCCTCGAGTCCAGCCGATACTGACACAATGCACAGCCTGTCTATGGTACACATTGATTCTTTGTATAGGCCTACCGTTTATTAAAACCACTACCACTAATAATCACATACAAGTAAAACAGGACACTTTACCATCACCTAATGGGTGAGCAACAGGTATTCTTATCACATGCTTATTCATATCAGGCGTATGTTGCAACCACAGCTCATTTTAAGGAAAAATGTCTGGTCACCTGCAAATTAAGTTTGGGTTTCTGAAAAGCATTTTTTTTGCCACACGTCAACGCTAGTTTGTTCATTTTTCATTGTTAGCTCTATGCATCCACCCTAGTATCTATGTCTGTCTGTTGCTCTCTCTGGGACAGAACTGCTGCGAGCCGGCAGTGTTTCTCTGCTGATGGAGCCCTCCGATGGTCTGCACTCCCACTCGCTGCTGCTGGACGAGGAGAGAGGTTGTCTTCTGTTGGGAGCAAAGGATAACATCTACCTGTTTGACCTCGACAATCCGGCCGGAGCCCCCAGAGAGGTAGACTATGCTGTGAAGGGCACTGAGAAATGTTAAAAAATTATATTCACAGTGGAAGGCTGTAGAGACATCGAACTTTCAACAAGAAAACGAGGCAGGGAATACATTTAGCGCAATAAATAGACAGCAACCTTTGAGTTTCTATCTGTTCAGTCCATTTACTACACAATAAAGGTTTATTTTGGTAAACCTTTAAGCGTTTCCAGTACATTTAAGAATCCTCACATCCTCCGACCGGATGATCGTGCTGTAAGAAATTCATGTCTACAAAGGAGATGAAGTTCCTCCTCCCCAAACAATAAAAGACGCACCCTGCCGACATCCAGAGTCTTACTTGGAGTCACTTGAGACTTCCTGACAACCTCTTCCATTTGCTGTGAGCGGCTTACTGTTCTGGAGACACACCATGCTTCAAGGTCATGACACTTTTACCTGTCTCGCCGTTACTTGAGTTGATGTGAGGTATTTCTTTTTCCATTAGCGTGTTGCTAAGCTGAAATGAACTCAGCCCTGTGTTGCTTTAGAGAGTAGCTGACCTCTCAGTAAACAGCAGGCTGGAGATGTCTGTCTGGCGAGGTCGGGGTCATCGCGGTGGAGGGCACACACACACGTGCAGAAAATGTACAGACATACGCACAGCGCTCACGCTCACACTTACACAAACACATACATGCCTTTGGACGGATGCCATAAGCTAAAGTTTGTATATGTGAGTGTGTGTTTATGCAGCTGAGCTTCATCCGCGAGTGGGACGACAGTGTGTATATTTGATTTTTATCTGGTTATTTTACTCTCAAAGTGTTGCCTTTTTGTTGCTTTTCTCGTTATCGATACTTATGCCAGGCAGATATCCACCAAAGGTCTAATTCTATCTGACAGAGTTTGAATGTGACAGTGATCTAAAAAAGCAATCTTTGTGTTTCACTTAATGAAGAAGCATACCTCAAAAAAGGAGCCCCAGGCACTAAAACACAACCCATTTTCTGCAAACAAACATTCTAATTGCTTCTTCCTTGATATTCGGGAGATAGCTGCTATGATATCAACGTTTGACCACAGTCTTTAAATATCCCCATATGCTGAGGTAAATTGATCACTTCTCTGGCTTTCAAAAAAAACCCAGTTGAAGCCCTTCACAAGCCTCACTCATTCAACACATCCCGTTTTAACACTGTTTTTTTGAAGGTTCCTCGGTGGCCTGCAAACATTTGGCATCGTGAGATGTTTTAATATTTGTGCTGGTGTATTTGCATGCGTATTCAGGCTCTGTGGACCAATGAAGAAGTTTGGAGATCGCTCTCCTTGGTGGGATCTAGGGGAGGTAACAGGTTAAGCACATAAGCCTGTTATGACACATGTGTGAACATGGTGCGTTACACTGAAAGGCCCTCTGGATGTAGTGCGTCCTTTGCCCTGTTCTACCAGAACCTCGAGGTGTTGATTATTGCACAACTGAGATCTGTTGTTCAATAGTCCCCTAAATGTTGTTGAGAGGCAAAGAGCCAAAATGTTGACACGCTCATTTGATTCAACCTTAATACAATACTGGAAAATGTATAGAAAGAAAGGGAAAATAACTGAATTAAAAAAGTGAAGAAGAAATCTTAAATAATTACAGGAAATAGTAATAGCCTGAACTTCTCTGGCACTTTGTGTCAGAGTTAAGGAGCACTGTTGGCAAAGGGCCTGGTCTCCTGTTTTTAGTCTTTAAAAGCCACTAGAAGGACATTCTGATAGATCTTGGGCAGCAGTAGAAGGCTCATATCAGTAGTGCCTTTTACAATTGTATATTCCACTGTAAACTGCACATGTATTCACTGTAGAGATGCCAGGGAGTATTATGACTGGCATACTGCATACAGATATGTGAAATTGTTCTCCTGTTGGTTATCTGTCATTAGATCCATTGGCCGGCTCCCAGAGACAGAGTTGATATGTGCAAACTGGCGGGAAAAAATGCAAATGTAAGTTCTTCCAAAAATCTCTGAAGTCTATCAGTACACTGTTTTTGTGTTATAATATACACAGAATGGTCAAACTTCTCTCAAAATGTGAATTCATGCTATTTCTCTGCCCCTTCTTGTCCTAGTTGGAGTGCGTCAACTTCATAATGGTCCTCCACAACTACAATCGCACACATTTGTATGCCTGTGGGACAGAATCCTTCCACCCCAACTGTGCTTTCATCGAAGTCACAGGCCACCGAGGGGTAAAGTGGATATCAGTGAATCTCAGCAATACAGCTGACGCAAGTTCAGGAGTTGCATTGGATTTTGTGAAAGTTTATTGTCAGAACCTTTTACCGTCTCTCAGGATGGCGTCCAGTACAGTCGAGTCTGGCAGATTGAAATGTCCCTTTGATCCCTTGCAGCCATTCACCTCCATCCTCACAGGTAATATGAGCGATCACAACGCACTCTGGCAGTCCTCTTATCCTTCGTGTACCAGAGTCGCATTGCTTCGCAGCACTTTTTAACCAGGAATACATTGTCTTTCCCCTCCAGTCTCTACTCAGATGTTTGAGTAAATTTCTTTAAAAAATTCCATTATATTTCCTGAAATGTTCCTCAATTCGTATTTTGGTTCACTGAGGCAACCCGACAGGATGGTAAAGCATATAATTTGTTAAATGATGGTGGTTAAGTTGTATGTTGAATGACTGCTATTTGGCTTTTAATTCTAAGCATGATAATGTTCTGTATTCGTGAACGTTCCAGATCAGTACCTTTACGCGGGCACATCCGACTTCCTGGGCAAGGACACTGGATCAACGGTACACACATGCTTGAATAACAGCCACAGGCTGAGTGCGCTCGAAACTTGTTATTGCTTTTTGTCCATACTTCCAGCTTCTCTGGTGATACAAAGAGCCTCTCTGTGCCCTCAGGATGGTTATTGACATTCCACTGGGGAGGAAACAGACCACTTATTCATTTAGCTGGAACTTTTATATGAACGCCATAGCTGAACAGGAGCCACACCTACGGTGGAATTTACAGTGTGCCACAAGTTTCACGTTCTCAGTCACACGACCACGTAGCCGCACACACACACACACACACACACACACACACACACACACACACACACACACACACACACAAACCCAGGCATGCAAAGCCATCACTGAGGAGGACATGTGCAGACATCTGCAGTCCTGAGTGATTCACAGCCACTGATGGGTAGTCGTGTATAAACTGTTGTCACCGTGATCTAAATCCTTACACTTGGCCTCGACATTTCACAACCACAGTCAGCGGTGTTTGGAGACATTATGTAGGAGAGCACGTCTTATTGGCCTCTGCGTTCCTGTGAGCCTGCGAAACATCTTTCCAGTGCTGCGGGACTAACAATTACCTTCTGTCGAGTGTGTTAGCAGTGATACATTTAAGTTGTTCCAGTTGGGGAATCACCCTCTGGTGGTTGGCTCTTCTCATAGAGGTTGGGCTAATGTTGATGAAATGTCACTGCAACACGAAGTGTAAGCTTTTGGACTGACTGTAACATGTTGTCGATCGTCTCCTTTTCCCCGCAGCGGTTTCCTACATCTCGTGCTCATCCTTGTTCTTCTCCATTTGTCCTCATAGCTGCAAAAAAAAAAAAGGTCAAACAAACAACATTTTTGTAACGTGAAAACTGCAGTTCTCCTCAGCTTCCAATAACAATGAGAAGCCAAACAGATTTCCCATTGTTGTTGGTGGAGACCAATATACAGAATACATTGTTGTTATTTTTGGTTAATTTGGTTTCCAAAAACAAGCCTCAACAAGAAGGCCAATGTTGCTCCGTGTCTGCTTGTGTACTTACCCTGATGTGGTTAACTATTCCAGCGTGGGTTTTGGAGTTAAAGATGATCTATTCCACACTGTTGCTTAACCTTTACTGCCAGACAAGCTGAAAATCATCAAAAACTAACCTGAATATCCTGGAATTTGCTGTATTTGTCCATTTATCAAACTACACCGTACTGTTGAAGATTTGTGCACAACCAAAGCCTTAGCTTAGTAAACACTTTTACTAAGTAATGAATCTGACTTTTCTGCACAGAGCAGGATAGTAAATAAACATGTGCTAAGTTTAGTGTTAATGCCATCACAAGGCAGCAACGCATGGCAAATCCATTACCGGACTTATTTTAATACTCTTTAATACCCTTCGCTCTCTCTTCCTCTGCGTGTCTTCAGAGGCCAGGTTTATATCTGCTCAGCCCATTGCAGACACCTATTATTAATTTCATTTATTAATTCTGGTTTGCCCTTTTCTCATGTTGGGCCGCTGTATGGTTTTGTTTCAGTGTATGTGGTTGTGTTTCAGAACGATGTGGGTGGGCTGAGGAGCCTGACCAATAAATGGACCACCTTCCTCAAAGCCAGACTTGTGTGTTCGATCCCTGGAACAGACGGCATGGACACACACTTTGATGAGCTCCGTAAGTGTTTGTGATAATAAATGGTGACAATATGGACCAATTAACTGAGTATCATCTTCCAAAGTCTTCCTTTTAAGTGCATTTCGAACAATGTCAGCAGTCGTTAAGACGCATCTATTCTTATTTATTCATTATATTGTAATAAAACAATTAACCTGCATGTTGATCCCTCTCTTTCTTATAGAGGACATATTTCTGCTCCCTACCAGAGATGAAAAAAATGCGGTCTTCACCACCTCCAGGTAGGTTTGGTTTTCATCCAACCCTCATCAAGGCCAACTTTCCTCTTCCTCCGTAGTCTTAAACTGCTCTCTCTGTTTCCTCTTTCCTCTCAGCTCCATTTTCCGTGGGTCAGCAGTGTGCGTGTACAGCATGGCAGACATCAGAGCCGTGTTTAATGGGCCGTACGCACACAAGGAAGGGCCCGACAACCGATGGGTAGAATACGAGGGAAGGATCCCGTACCCCCGTCCCGGAACGGTGCATCCTACTTAATCAATCTGAGCTAAATAGGATTTTCTTTGCAAAAATGGGATTCCGATTCATTGAATCGTCAACGTTCCTGCTGATTATATAATAATAAACACAGCCTGATTAAAAAATGTCAGGTTTAAGGACTAAATGTTGACGACGCTGTAGGGTATGCATGCTGTCATCTGCACATGGTGTATGACATGACCTTGGCTTCAACCAGGCTACTAACATGGTAATCAACTACTCTTTTGTCTGCAAAACATAATCAGGGCAAGGAAAGAATGCGTGGAGAATTAACTGTGTGCTTCAGGTATGCAGCTGTTTGAGAAATTGTTTACTCAGAAAGGGGGGGGGGGGTAGGAGTGACAGATGTTCCAGATGTGGGACGCCTCCCGCTGTTCTTCATTTCACCGCCAGGGGAAGACATGCGTCATTGTATTGTCAGACAGAAACAACAAGTCATTTGGGTGAAAAGAACTGTGGGAAAGATACTCACTAACAACCACTCTAGGAGTTAAAGCATCCTATGATTGTGACACTTTTAACAGAAGATCAACATTTCTTTACGTGGTCCTTCAGTGTCCCAGCAGGACGTATGACCCGAGGATCAAGACCACGAAAGACTTTCCAGATGAGGTGGTCAGTTTCATTTGATTCCATCCTCTCATGTATCACTCCGTCTACCCTCTGACTGGCCGACCGGTGTTCACACGCGTCCGAGTGGACTACACCCTTTCCCAGATTGTGGTGGATAGAGTCCTGGCGGAGGATGGACATTATGAAGTGATGTTTCTGGGAACAGGTGAGTTACGGACCCTCTCCGCTTACTTGAGATTCTGTATTTGACCAGCAGAGGGCACTACATGACTATGAATTGTCTTTGGCCTTTTGGCCAATTCTGCTGATGCTGTTATGGTCTTGTGGTTGTAAAACAAGTCACATTTGCATCCATTATCCTGTCTCCGGTTCTGCATTTTAACACAGCAGTGCTCAGGTCAGAGTGGCCTGGTGTTTGTGCTTTAGTGTGTGGGCCAGAAGTGCACGTTTGCATGGGATAAGAAAACAACATAGTTTTAATAGCTGGTTGTTGTTTTTTGCAAAGATTCACTTCTGAATTCAAATGTGTGCAGTGTGCCTTGCTAGATTCATCCCAATAACTCCTCCTGCATTCCGTTTCACTCTCTGTCGTAGACGTTGGCTCGATTCTGAAGGTGGTGAGCATCACGCAGGACAATTGGTCAACAGAGGAAGTGGTTCTTGAGGAACTTCAAGTGTTCCAGGTACTGTTTGCAGCACAGCTACACTCACACAAATGTAGAAAAGCAGGAACACAAAATTGTTATTATAGCTGAGCTTTTTGATTGATGATGCAAACTGTTTCCTAGTTGGTGGAACAGTTTACTCATTAGATGGTGAAATGCTATTTGAGACACTGGCGGATTTTTTAGAGCCATTAATCAATTAACTTATGTGTTGTTTTTACTCAGTAGGTGCTCCAGCAATTGATTATGTATTATTCATTGAAGTGTAATGTTCGTTTGTTTGACTTTTTGCAGGTTCCCTCTCCCATCCTCAGTATGGAGATGTCCTCTAAAAAGGTTTGACGTCGTTCTCATCCATTTCATTCCCACGCTTCTTCTTTTGCCTTCATTCATGCCTCATGCATTCATTCACGCATGCTGTTTTTATCCCTAATTCCTTCATCTATTCAATTTTGCTCTCTTTTTCCTTAGCCTTCCCCACTTCCTTGTACCTCTTTCTACCCCTTTGGCCTCATTATCTTAGGGTCATGGGTGTCAGTAGACACTTCAACCCCAATCATTGCTTCAATTAATCTCCAGCAGTGTCGGTATGTGCATGCTGGCTTTGTGTTTTTGAGAGGCTGTTTAGAAGTTCTGCTCAGGAATCTCCTTAACTTCCAACGAGTCAGAACATATTCTTGGAGTCACATTTCAAAACAGAAATCCTGAAATCTCTGTGGTCTGCTCCATGTGCCTGTTTGAGGTTGTAATGAGTTATTCATGTTATAAAGCCTTGACCCACAATTATTCATGAGGTCAATTCACAGTAGGGGAACTTGGAGGTAAATGTTGATGTATGGAGACCACATGTGAGAAAAATCATTTTTCTTTCCAGGATAATCTATCAATGTACAGTTTTATGGGCCGCTTGTGTTGCTGCACTTTATTCAGGTATTTCTCTTCCTCTACCCAAAGGAATCTCCTTTGTGGATGAGACATTTGAACTAATATTGGTCTGTACGTTTGCCTTTTCCTGAAGCCCAGTGTGGTGTGTGTGTCTCCTTATAGCAACAGCTCTACGTGGGCTCGAGTGAAGGACTAGCCCATGTTTCAGTCAGTAGATGTCAACTATACGGCCACGCCTGTGCCGAATGCTGTCTGGCACGAGACCCCTACTGCGCCTGGGACGGACACACTTGCTCACAATACGTCCCTGCGTCCAAGAGGTATGCTGGCCCCGTGAAAATACTTTGTAGCATCATCCAAAACGTAGCATTCATCCCTTTTTGATCATTTTTTGTGTGTCAGTAGAACAAATGTAGGGCTGTTAAAGGTCAAATCTGTAACTCTGCACATTCAAAAGGACAGAAAAAGAAAAATCTCCATTTGCTGTATGTAATTATTTTGTTGTGCACTGCTTCAAATCATCAGTTATTCTCCAGAAACATGCACCGTCAACATTGTTAAGAAAATTGCACCATATATCAGAACATACAAAAAACTACAAAAATCATATAACAACATATAACCATTTCTCAACAGACACACAATAGTGCATACTTCTGTAAGCATAAAACTGACAATGCAAAATATAAAACTGGAACATTTCAATTTATTGTTAAATTTATTCCCTCTTTGTTGCAGCATTGTGTGATTTACAGCAATAAACTTGAAAATATTTTGCATCCAGTGGAAAAATGAATAAATCCTTTGCGTTTGTTAGTGAAGTGTGTTTGTGATCCCTTTGCTGGCTCTTTACTCTTAAACTGTCAAGCGGAGTTCCTAGTTCTTGCTAAATATGTTTCCTATTTCGGTTCTCCTCACCTCTTCAGAATATTTTTGACCTTTGGGAATCCATCCGTTGAAGCATTAGTAGAGAAATGCTGTTCCTCAGCTGATTAGCGCTGCAGTCATTCCTCTCTTCTACAGTCGGTCCTGTCGGTGCAATGCCCGTGTGTGCGTATTGCTTGTGTGTCTGTGCATTTTCTTTGTGTGCTTGCTTGCACGGATCGTTTCGAGGTCACACTGCCAGATTTTAGTCCAGTGGGGAGGCTGTTATGGTTTGTGAAACAGTGGAGGGCCAGTGTTTGGTCACCAGAGCTCTTAGAAAGCTCCACAGTGTCATGTCAGTGTAGGCTACACATGTTCAAGTACAAAGGAATGACTAAAAGAGCCTATATGACCCTCTGCCAAATCGGAGGCCAAAGAAATGGCATTTTTCACTTTAAAATAGTTTCTAGTTTTAACTAGATTCAGTATTTAGCTTTTGTTTATGATAAACTATGTTTTTTGGCATAGTCTGTTATTGTTGGAATGCATTAAGCATTCCAAGTATTGTTCTTTATTCCGCCTTCTTCTATTTCTTCCGTTGCACCTTTCAACTCCTTCACACTTCACAGCTATAAAAACTGTTCCAATAATAAAATATTCAACTCATTTCCGGCTTTCCAGCTATGAATTTTCAGCAGTCAGTTTGAGAAATATGTCGGCAGATTTGTATTGGAGCCTATGGGGCTTTTAGCAGAGGTTGTGTGACTGTTGGTCTCCGTAGGCCAAACTAAAGAACTCTGGGATTCCATAGCCACATAACTACAAGCAGCACAATCATGCCATCACGTTAAGCTAAAAATGAAGCCTCAAAAGTGTATATTTGGCTCTGAGGATTAAAATATTCAACTCCTTTCGGCTTTCCAGCAATGACTTTTCAGCTTTATACCCTTTTAAGCTTTAATTTATATAAATCGGTAATCATGAATATTTCAGCCATAGGAGCCGTATTTATTACCGGACAGACATGAAAACGACATATTTGCGTTCGGTAGAGTCTTGGGTTAGGGTGAGAACATGGCGCTAGCAAACACGGCGCTAGCTAGCATTTCACCAGCAATAACATGACCAAACGGCTGACAAGTGGCTCAAACAGCGTGCCAGCACTTACTCTCCCTTCCCTACGTAGACTGGCAAACACACAGGCCTACGTGGGAAGCAACATGGCGCTAGCTAACACGGCGCTGGCTAGCATAGCGCTAACATGGCGCTAGCTAACATTGCGCTAACATGGCGTTAGCTAACATTGCACAATCACTAACAGTACCAAGCGGCTGAAGAGTGGCTCAAACAGCGTGCCAGCACTTACTCTCCCTTCCCTACGTAGACTGGCAAACACACAGGCCTACGTGGGAAGCAACATGGCGCTAGCTAACATGGCGCTATGCTAGCTAACACGACGCTGGCTAGCATAGCGCTAACATGGCGCTAGCTAACATTGCACAATCACTAACAGTACCAAGCGGCTGAAGAGTGGCTCAAACAGCCAGTGAAAATCTCTCATGTCTTTAGATAGCTAGCTAGGCTGTCTTTGATGGCCTTTGTGGCACTGACTCATGCAGACATAATACTACCGGCATTTCTACTGCTAGACTTCAACAACTACTAATTTTACAACTAGTGGTATTACTACAAATGATACTATTACTCACTACTACTACTACTAGTATTTCTACTGCTATTAAAATGACTCCTAATAGTAGTACTAAAATACTACTTCTTCTAGTAGTGACTCTGCAACTGACACGACTAGGGAAAAGTACTACTAGTATTTCTACTGGTATTAATACTACAATTACTACTAATGTTACTACAAATACTATGACTAAAAATATTAGTATTCCAGCTGTTTCTACCGCTATTGATACTTAACCTACTATTACTACTTCTACTGCTAGTACTACTAATACCACGATTACTAACTACTACTAATATTACTACAAACCTTTTTTTATTCATCCCAGCTTTTGTCATTTCTGTATTTTTTTAAATTAATTTAAGCTCCTGCAACTTCTGTATTTTTTAGAAAATGTATTGAGATTCAGCTTCTCCCATTTCTGTATTTTCAGCAGTTCTTTCAAATAATTTCAGCTTTTATTATGCCTGTATTAACAGCAATGTTTTAATATTGATTTCTGTATTTATTTGCAATATTTCACATTCATTTCAGCTGTTTTCATTTCTGCTTTTTCAGCAAATCTATTAATTCCTTTCAGCTTCTCCCATTTATGTATTTTCAGCAATTTCAAATTAATTTCAGCTTTTCTAATATCTGTAATTTCAGCAAATGTATTAAAATTCCCTTCAAAGCTTTGTAATTTCAGCAGTTTTCTGAAGTTCATTTCATCTTTCAGCATTCCAACGCATTTTCAGCAGGAAATGCATTTTCTAGTTATTCATGTGTCATTTTAAATAACAATATAGATTTTAAATGCACATTAACTATTATTTTCATCTTGATCAGTGTTGCATTTAGGTTATTGTGGCACATTTAAACCATTCCCAAAGCTAACCTATTGAAATTCCCACTCTTTTTTTTAAAACAAATTACATATATTGGTGACATTTCTTTTCAAATTGATTTCAACTTGTATCCCAACTGTGTGTTGTTTCTCCAGGCGAGCCAGAAGACAGGATATCAAGCATGGAGACCCTGCCAGTCAATGCTGGGACACAGAGGACAGTACGTACACCTTGTTCTCTTAAGAAGAAGTCTCACCTTCTTCAGATGTACACACATACACAGTAAACAGATACACGATTCTATCAAAGATCACTTGACGAAACCTGCATGATTCATTTTTTTTCTTGGATTCATAACGTATGTGCTTTCTTTAGGTCTCGTCGGGGGACGGTTGGAAGAGAGGGTCCTCTATGGGGTGCAGAGCAACTCAACTTTCCTCGAGTGTATCCCCAAGTCTCAACAGGGTCAGACTCGGTGGTACATTCAGAGACTTGGATCTGGTCAGAAAATGCACTTGTCGACACATAAAGCCTGCTAAAGCCTGTCAACAGCTTATAAAGTATACAAAGTTGTATACCGAAAAGTCAAATCCTTTGTGGAATTATAGGTAATAAGGGAGCCATTCGGGATAATGAGTGTGAGAAATTACTTAATCTAATCTAGAGACCCACCTGAGTGAATGTGACATTATCTATTTTCATGAAAAATGAGGAATTCACAGATTTAGTTGCATTTTCTCACGAGGTCTTCATTCCGAAATGCAACTGCTTTTACCTGTTCGAAATGTACTTTAGAATATACAGTATACTTTCACTTTTGTTCAGGACAGAAAATGAAGCGGTGGATCAGAAAACCAATTCTATAAACTGAATTTCAAAATTTACTGACTTCACACTAAGCATTACTGAAAAACAAATAAATCACTTAAGATCACGTTAGTTGAATAGTGAATACTTGTAAAAAGTGGTGCATATTTAGTGTTGTTTCTCCAAACCCTAAAAAACAACTTTGATTACGTTGCACAAAAGTCACTTCAGATCTTGGGAGACAAAGTTGTACAGAGAAGGACACACGGCAACAGAAAGTCTAATGTGTTTGTATTCGAGGTGTGGAAAGGAACTCATTGGCGATGACACTCGTCTCCTGAATGAGACAACGGAGACATGCTTACTCAGCACCTCCCTGCCCTCCTCCTCCTTATCCAAACACACAAAGCCTCCTCCACCCGCTGCGAATGGCCAACTCAACCCATTCACTCCTCCTCGCTCTCCCCACTTCCTGATCCACTGGTTTACTCCCACGACCGGCCTGCTGTCCTCCTCTGAGGGGAGAATGTAAACACACTGACAGGTGCGGAGGCCACTAAACAGCCATGCGTTGCTCTCCTGTGCAGCAGAAAGCTGTATGTCCCTTGGTGTGCGTGCGTGTTTGTGTGATCATGTGTCTGTTTCTTTGTGATTCCCTCCAGCAGAAATGATAACATGGTGCTCCCTGGGGACGGCCATGTGTTTGGGGGGTAATCAACACAACGGGGTACTTTATTCGTTTGTGTGTGTAGGCATGCAATGATATGTCACACACAAGGATCACACACTGGGCTTTACAGCAATAGAATTGTCATAATGTCCAATGCTCTTTATTTTTATAATATCAAACTACAAAGTGCTGCTTTACTGCCTGAAGAATATTCGGATGATGAGCAAATCCTTAAGCCATAAAGCCGTTCTGAAATGATGGGACGTTCTCAGACAAAGCAAACTTAAGGCTTGCACTTACCAAAAGCAGTACTTCACTTAATAATTAAAAGTGTCTCTGCAATACTCCACATGCGTGCACGCTTGTTTCAAAATACGTATGTAACTCCTCCCTAAAAGCAGGATTTGTTGGCACCAATAAAGACGATCTGGGTGAATTTAAATATCTGACATTATTCACAGATGCCTTAATTTTGGACCGGTAGTGGTAGTTGGTCCCTGCAACGTAACTACAGGGTAACATTGTTCTTTGTTTTGTCAGATGTGTCAGGAAATAGGAGTGATGGGAGAAATTTGTTTGCATTAATACGGCTGAGGGTCAAGATCCAAAGAGGCGCTTTGCTCTGCGGGTCTGCCTCTCGCTGGGTGACACATCATCAGTGTCACACCGGAAAAAAGCCCCACATAGCTGAGGTTCACAGGAAGACAAACAGGCAAATATTCATTGTTTTCCACACGCTATTACACCCCTGGGGGGTCGGAGCGGTGCTGTGGGATGTGCTGTTGAAGCATCCGCAACACATACAAATAGTGTGTCATGCACACACATGGGCTGTCCTGGGAACACAGCTGTGTTGTTTTTAGGCCCCGACAGCAGCTATGCCAATCGCTGAATCATGGCGGACGCTAAATGACAAGAGCGGACTATAAACATCGCCACGCCACTTACCCTTACACCTTGATGACAAACACAATAAACCTCACACACACATGCACACGCCCATTTATTTTTCTGAATACTTTCTGTAGCCTTTGCGTACTTCTTTCACTCATTATGCGTTTAAAGATCTCCCCACCACCCCATAAAGGCCCCTGGCTCCCCACACACAACTCCATATGTTTCCTGTTTCAGGGGTCATTACCATGTCCAACGCTGCCTGGATACAAATCAGGCGTGAACGTGTGTGTGTGTGTGTTATCAGGCTGGCGTTTTGTAATATGCAGCCATTCCAATTCATCGTTGTGGTCTTTGTAAAGCTTTGAATCTCAATTTTTGGAAAGCAATAACCAAGTTCACACGGTTGACCTTTTCCTCGGTGACGAAGCTCTCACACATCTCTTCCTGTGCGCCAGGTCCGGCCGGATGATCGCGTGACACGCACAGATCGAGGTCTCCTGATCCGCTCCCTCCAACCCTCTGACGCCGGCGTGTATGCCTGTGTTGCCGAAGAGCACTTCACCCACACTCTGCTCCATCTCACGCTGCAACTCGTTACACAAGGACAGCTGGATGGAAAGCTCAATGCCAGCAAAGACCCGGCAATGGAGCCGCGGCCCGGCGCCGAGTCCCGCCAGCGGTATAAAGACTACCTGAGGGTGATGAGCAGCCCCTTTGTGTCTCTGGAGGAGTACTGCGATTCCCTGTGGCTGGAGAAGAAGCTGTCCCGGGTGCGGGGACGAGGCTTGGGGGCCGGCAAGTGGAAACATATGGAGGAAATGAAGAAGAGCCGGAACAGGAGATAACCGGGGGAGCGAGGGAGAGGGGTGAGGACAGCAAAGCAGTGAGGGGTGTGTCTGCATTCACCGGTTGGACGAAGAAGCAGAACGTTACACAGAACTGCAAAATTCTCAGCTCAGAGTATACAAAAGACTCACTCTGAAATATACAGCTCAAGAGTTAAACTAGTAGCAATTTTAAGTAGTGTTGGGTTATGAATATGTCATTCAATGAATCTGCCAGCATCTGTCCTGATTGCGGATAACATGGCTTTAAATGAAAACAACGAGACTGAATAACAATAGTTATCGCAATACTTGAAATTAATTTGACATTAGCCCTCCGTCGGCTTGATCGGTCGTGGAGGAGATGAGCAGATTGACGGTCATCCTACAGCAAAAGGGTTCGCCCCAATAGTATACAATGACGGTTAATAGGGGCGATCATTTGATATATTGAAACCCATATTTGAGTTGGGAAAAATATAGAAGAAAAGTTTGCTTGTGGTGATGTCAATGCATGTCATGTTGAATGACTGTAAATATATGTATACCATGTACAGGAGATATAGAATGCTCAATTTGGTCTTTATACTAATCTGTTTATTTGTAATTATACTCACATACGTTTGGAATGACATTTTTTGCAAATGTCATTCCCACAATGTAGGTTTAATTGCTATTTTTCGTAATTGCTGATTTTTAAAGTTATCTAAATAAAGTTGTCTCGGGCCTCTCTTCCCTGAATGTTTTTTGTCTGTCATTGTGTGAAGAGATAAAATCAATACAGACAATATAATTTACGGTTAAAGTGCAGTTATATGCAGTCTCAAGCAGACAACAGACATGGCAGAGAATAGGTGAGGGTTAGTTCAGCTGAGAGTCTCCTGTTATAGAAACACAAGTCCTGTACACTGTATGCCGATGCCAGAATGATCCAGGACCAGCTGTTCTCTTTGTGACAAAGAGACAGAATGTTCAGGAGAAACTGAGCTAAACATAAAAGTTGTTATCAAACTAAGCAATTTACAGGTTTCCTAGAATTAATTAATCAATAGAAGTTTGTCATCTAGCATTATGCGACCCAATGATATGCTCTCTCGTTATTGTAAATCGTATTTTATCTGTTTTTTTATCTGTTCAGGGTTTGGAGCAAAGGTCTCTAAGCTGTGATCTGTATTAGTTAACAATAATAATTAATGCACAGTATTTCTTTGCCCGAATGACTTCTTTAATTTAATGGGTCAAATGTTACATATGATATATTGTCATGAGAATATTCTTATATGTAAGAATATATTTACCTTTTTAAAAATGTTAGCTAGTAACGGTTACTCAGTGAACATATTAATTGGCTGACTTTTTCACAATGGGTTTTTACATAAGACGTTTTACTTTTATCTAAAATGTATTTTAAAAAATGCTATTTTTACTTGAGCAAAGTATTCTTGTACTCTTTTCAACCTTCCCCATATTAATAATAGATCATGGAAAACTGATTTCATTTCTTTTACTGATCTCACAGGCCTCCTGTGGATATGTGATCGTCTTAGCTTTATTATTTCACATTACTATTATCATTACACTTACTGTACTTGCCTTCTATACACGAATGCACAAAAGAACACCATCGAAGTCTCACATTTTGTGGTGTTCCACAAAGAAAGGACTGCTTACAGACTTGAAAGCTCAAGAAATGTGAAACCACTTAAAGAAGAAAATACTCAATAGTCGTCTTCACGAAAAAAAAGCAGTGCTGTTTGAATACTTCTTGTGTAACTTAGCAAACGTTAACCCCGTGCACGACGCAATGGCCGTGTCCCAATCCACACTATATGTGTGTTGTGCTGAAATATAGAAATGTAACAATTCTAGCCCTCTTTGGGCTTCCACAAACGAGATTATAAGGAAGGAAGTGCTCAATTTGATGTGATGGACGTAATGAGCTGTCTGCTTCGGACCCCCGTGGTGGCCTGACAAGATTCACGTACAAAGGCACATGCATATATCATACTCCTTTTTCACTGTCTCCTTTTTAAATGGTTTCCGGTGTCCAGTGACCCACGTGGACACATCAAGGTTAGATACAGTGCATTGGACTGGCAGCTTCCCAGCAGGAGGCTCAGGTTGGACTGGCATCAGAGGCTGACTAATTGACTGATATCATCTAGGCCCTGATGGCGTTGATGCTCGGTGCAGTTCTTTAATTAAAACAAAACATACTTGTTATTCTGTGTAAGTGTAGGCGGGGTTGAGTAACATCAAACTACAATATATGTCTGAAGGCAAATCATTGTCAAAATCCATACTTCAAAGTTGGCAAGATATTCACAGATTCGGTTTTCCCGGTTCAATAGCTCGTCAGCGAAACGTTATTTTACTAATACGGACCGGTCTGCGAGCTGGACGCATTGCTCTTAATGTGAGGCCGAAGTGAGACTCCGTATTGGTAAAATGATGGTAAATTTGGGTTGTAGGTGGTTGTCAACTACAGTCTACTACGCTTACAGAGAGGTGTCGATTATTTTTTAACAACGTTTTAGCTCATAGTTTTGACTTCCTTCTCTTTTATTAGTATGGAAATGGGCTTCTATAGTTCTGGGAATGCATAATTCTCAACAGCCAAATACAAAGATTGGGTCTGCATCATTTCCATCATCCGTTTATGCAGGAGCAAGAATGCACTAGGATATCAAATTAGTTAATCAATACCAGAATTAGGATATCAAACACACTGACAGGACTAGAGAGAGAGTGACGGAAAGCAGAATTTAGATGTCAAACCACGGAGGTGTTTCATTACATCACATTACAGGTCATTTAGCAGACGCTTTTATCCAAAGCGACTTACATTACACTTTAAACCCATAGTGGCTTTTTCACATTTTTGCCCGGGGAGCAATTAGGGGTTAGGTGTCTTGCTCAGGGACACTTCGACATGGAACATGGGGCAGCTTGGAATCGAACCAACAACCTTGCGCTTCCCAGCACACCTTCTCTAACCCCTGCACCACGACGACCCTTTCTGGTTCTATATTGCAGAGGATTTACAGCTGGGCAGAAATGTGCATTTCCCAGGTGTTGACAGTGAACTTCTGTGCCGGGTGGAGACGTGGAGAAGTGTTGTATGGGAGCTGTCGGACTGGGCGGTATTTATTGAGGCCTGGAGGTACCACAAGGCGAGAGGTATGTTTGTATGAGCTACAAACAGTTGTTCCCTAGAAGTAATGAGTACCTGTGTTCCCTCTGCCTGATTTACCGACACACACGATCTCTCCTCACTCCAGAATTTGTGGCAGGACATCCAAGGTGCACTAAATATCCTGAACACACCCTGTGGGAGATATTTTCGGTTGTGTGAAGAGCTGCTTTGAAAATCACTGCAAATGAGACGTTTCAAGGGCTCCTTGCTCGGCCTTTCTCGCTTGTGAATGCATTTTATCGATGGCTTCGGGTTGGCTACTGAACTGTGCAAACCTTTTAAGTTGCTTAATTCGTTAATGCTCTTAATGGATCATTCAGCAGGAACCACATGTCTACATGTGTATGCATGCATTAGTGGATGAAGGCAAAACAACGTAGTAGGAACTGTCAAGTGTGTGTGTGTATGCAACAATAGAACAGACCAAATACTGCTGGTATCTGTTTCCGTATGTGTGTGTGTGTGTGTGTGTGTGTGTGGCTCACACTGCCCCTGGCACCCACAGATCCCAGGGGCAAACACGGTGTGCATATCCATGGAATGGATATGCCTTTCAGTACAGTCTGATCCCACACCTCATTGACCTGTGGCCTTTCAATTGTTTTTTCCAATTGATCACATATCTCTACACTTTCACTGCATTGCTCTGCAGACACATGGACGGCTTTAATGTCATTTGGAAAATATTTCCCTAATCCATGTGGCAGATGCCAGCTGGAAGGAAAGTGCAGGGTGACTAATACCATATTGATCTACTTTGGGATATTTATGATCGGAACGAGTACCATCAGATCATCACTACTGTATCTCCGTTTACATTTTAATTTAAATAGCAGTTAGACAGTATTGTACACTTGTTGGGTCATAGGAAGCAGTCCCCTGCTGAAGAGCGATCGAACCACGTCCGGTTTCCATCGGTTCAAACAAATTCATTGGGATTTAATGTAAATATGTTAGTCACCTGTTCAGTCTGCAATAACAAAAGCAGTAGGACATGAAGATAGAAGGACAGAAAAGGCTACACATTAGAGTACCTGGCGAGGGGTCGTGAGGAGAGTAAAGCAGAGAAAAAGTGCCTACTTGTGTTGGATTAGTATCTTCCTACAGCTGGATGGCATGCGACGGCCCTGCCTTCCATCATACCAGTAAGGACGTGGCACCTGAAACCAAACACCCCTGCGACGCTGGCTTAAGACTCAAATTACTCTGCTTGACTCCAAGCTGAGAAATCAGATATTTAATCTCAAGGGTACTAATTCACTTTCCCCATTCTGGTACATTATGTGTACGAGCACTACAAGCAGGCTGCAGTGAGTGAGTTTTAAACACGTCAATGGTTGAGGTGTCTCGTGAGTGTTGTAAGACTGTACTTGTGTGTGACCGTGTGGAAGTATTTTCCAAAGGTGTGAATGGTGATGAGTTGCCAGCGTCGGGAGATCCACAGAAAATCCACTGGGAAAAAAATGGTGACAGGGATAGAAAAAAAGAAATCTAACTGAAGTAACAATTAAGTTGTTCTGCTCCTGTTTTTATATTTCCAAACTATTGCTTTTTTACAAAAATAAACACAATTTGCCTGTTTGGCAGGGGGATCCAGTCCAAACCGAACTGTTTCAACTTGGGAGTTAAGTTCCCAAGTGCGTCGCCTGTGAGCAATTGGCAACCACAGGGGCAGAACTCAAAAGCCGACTCAGTCAAACGCAGTCGGCCGAAGAATAGATAGTTTACTGAAGAGGGTTTCGTTACACGTGTAGTCAGTCACACAGGCAATGGTATCCAAATCAACCGGCAAAACTCACAGGTACACGGAAACTAACACAGACAGACACACGGGGGGAAAAACCCCACTAGGAATTGCTGTTAAACTCGCTGGAAACAGAACTGGGATAGACACAGACTAAATACACAGGATGGGCAACGAGTCACAGGGGGAAACAATCAGGGAGGAGCTTACAATCACACAGGAAGAAAGGGGGAGCCTGAAACCAGGGATGAGTAACAGAAAACACAGACAAGCAGACAGTGATAACAAACTATGTTTAAGGACATTGCCTGGCATCGCTAAATTCCCGACAAAAACAAAATGATGACAAAATTTGTGGAAAAGCAATAAAATGCGGCGCAGGCTGGTAATAACATGAATCTGGTTTTAAAGTCAACTCAGCAACTGGATTTTAGTGGCCATGATTACAAACCCCATTGCATGCAATGAGTAACTTCATCACCAGACTAGTATACATATATAATTATAGACTGGCGTGTCACATTTCTGTTCATGATTGTTAACAACATTTGGTGGTGACGCCACAGCATGCAACTGCAGCATGGAAGTGAAGTGCAAGGACAGATTTCTTGTATCATCCATTTAATCGGTTACAGTTGAAATAATAAATGGAAAGGCCCATGCTCCGGTTGAAAGAAAAATCTTTTTCAGGAGTAATGAAGAGAGAAACAGTCCAGTTTGCAAAGAAACTAACATCCGACCCCGTACACTGCTTCATCATTCAAAGACCTGATGCACAGCGGGTCCTCTTTGTGCTTTAAA